AACCGGCAGTAGGACATCCTTCGCGGGGTCTCAGATTGGAGAGGTGTGCAGGCCGGGCTGAGGAACACCCCCTCCCCCGTGCACAAATTTCGTGGACTGGGCCACTAGTTTATAATAATAAAAGCATAATATGCTAATTAGACCAGACAGCCGAATGAACTTCCTGATGAAGCCAGGGCTGCGAGGGCCGAGCCTCATGAATAAATTTCATGCATCGGGCCCCTAGTGTTGTCGTAAGTTCTAACTCTGAGCTGGCTCTTTATCTGTGCTTTTAAACAGCCCTCAGTCCTTTCCATTGCTTGATCTACATGCAGCTTTATGTTGCTGTAGTTTGTGATATGACAAGAGGATTCCATGGTCAATTGTCCACTCCTACCTCAATGTTAGAATGTGTGTCCCCTGTCAGACATGAGGTTTTGTAAAGTTTCATAGTTGATTAAATAATTCTCTAAGTTCAGGGATATCAGTCGTTGCTGACGCCCAGTGGGCAAGACAAGCAATTCCATTTTCTCTCTCTTTTCTTTTTTTTTTCCAAAATGGAAATCAATCTGTATTACTAGAATAAACCTCAATTGGCATGATTTATTATCCTCATGTATATTCTTAGATTCAATTTTCTCTGATTCTCCATGAGGTTAGTATTTATCTTGTTTGTGTCTGGAAAAACAAGAAAAAGATTACTTTCATTTTAGATACTATATTGATGCTTAATATTATCATTTAGTATCTAAATGATATGGTTTGACTTTAGGCATAACTTAAGGTTTCTTTTACTTAGAAAATGAAGAGAAAGAGGACATTTGAAAATGCGAATTGTTAAGATAGAGGCAGACATTTAGTTTCACAACATCTTTATTTCATTTGTGTGGTCCACAAGATATATGTACCTTAAAGTTGTTAGTGTAGTTAATTACACTAACTACATTCTTTCACTTGGTTCTTCATTCATTAGTATGCTCTCAATCTTCACTGGATTAGCTAACTTCTCACATATAGCATTTTTTCTCCAAGTGCAGAGACCATAGTAAACATACGTATACTGTATATATCCACAATACATTACACCATTTAAGTCACTTGTGTTTCCTGTAAACCTGAAAAAGAAAATAATGAATTACAATAGGCTACTCAAACATTTGAAACATATTCATACACACAAAAATTGCTTTTCCAGTATATCATTGCTCCTAGGCTCTGCATTGTCTAAAATAACTTTTAATTATTATTTAGAATATCAAGAGTGTTCAGATTACTCATTTTTATTGACATATATATACAATGTCAAACACTGCCTCATTTTTCTCTGCCTTGTTCTTTCTCACATCTGGAGTATTTGCTGTTCTTTCAGACCTAGCATCTCCCTTCCCTAATACCTAACATGATTTAGAATAATGCAATTCCATTAGATTTTCCAGTCTAACTGGCTCAGTAGTAAATCTTTGACACTGTCTTTCTCAAATGTTTTTCATAATTACCAAAACCAATAATCAATCTAATACGAACATTATCTCCAAGTGACATATCCCTCTAGTTTTTTAAAATTTATTTCAATGATAAAGACAATATAACGCATTTTATTAAGTTTTTCCCCATTTTTTAAATTAAATCTTTATTGTTCAGATTACATTTGTTCCTCTTTTTTTCCCCCATAACTCCCCTCCTCCCAGTTCCTGCCCCACCCTCCGCCCTCACTCCCCACCCACTGTCCTCATCTATAGGTGCACGATTTTTGTCCAGTCTCTTCCCGCATCTTCCACTCCCCTTCCCCCCCCCAAGAATAGTCAGTCCATTCCCTTTCTATGTCCTTGATTCATTATAATCACCAGTTCATTCTGTACATCAGATTATGTATTCACTTGATTCTTAGATTCACTTGTTGATAGATGCATGTTTGTTGTTCACAATTTGTATCTTTACCTTTTTCTTCTTCTTCCTCTTCTTAAAGGATACCTTTCAGCATTTTGTATAGTACTGGTTTAGTGGTGATGAACTCCTTTAGCTTTTCCTTATCTGTGAAGCTCTTTATCTGACCTTCAATTCTGAATGATAGCTTTGCTGGATAAAGTAATCTTGGTTGTAGGTTCTTGCTATTCATCACTTTGAATATTTCTTGCCATTCCCTTCTGGCCTGCAAAGTTTCTGTTGAGAAATCAGCTGACAGTCGTATGGGTATTCCCTTGTAGGTAATTGAGTCTCTTTCTCTTGCTGCTTTTAAGATTCTCTCTTTGTCTTTTGCTCTTGGCATTTTTATTATGATGTGTCTTGGTGTGGTCCTTTTTTGGATTCCTTTTGTTTGGGGTTCTCTGCGCTTCTTGGACCTGTAAGTCCATTTCTTTCACCAGGTGGGGGAAGTTTTCTGTCATAATTTCTTCAAATAGGTTTTCAATATCTTGCTGTCTCTCATCTTCTGGTACCCCTATAATTCTGATTTTGGTGCATTTGAAACTGTCCCAGAGGCTCCTTACACTATCTTCGTATTTTCGGATTCTTTTTTCATTTTGCTTTTCCGGTTGGGTGTTTTTTGCTTCTTCACATTTCAAATCTTTTACTTGATTCTTGCGCTCCTCTGGTCTGCTATTGGGTGTCTGTATAATATTCTTTATTTCAGTCAGTGTATGCTTAATTTCTAGTTGGTTCTTTATCACAACATCGAGAGTCTCATTAGATTTCTTGAGGCTCTCATCAGTTTTTCCCCATTTTTGAAAAGTGTTCTTTAAAAAAAAATTAAACTTATTGGTGTTACATTTGTCATATTAACATAGATTTCAGGTGTGGGTTTCTATGTTATAAGATGTGTATATTGTGCCATGTGCCCACCACCCAAAGTCAAATTTTCTCCTGTCACCATATATTAGGTTCACCTTCTCTCCTTCTAGTTGTTTTTTAGAGATTTTTACTCTGAAGTTCTGAATTATTACCAGCCACTAATACAAGATTATCGGTCAGGGATTATGCATTAAGACAAACTTGTAAATTGAATATATTATCTTTTGAAAAAACTTTAGTATTCATACTTGAGCTGATAAATAATGATCATTTATCAATAAATAAATTCCTCAATTAAATATTCAAAAGTAAAAATTCCTATTTGAGGTGAAATAATACAGATGTCATTGATCACACACCTGTCCAGAAACAAACTCCAAAATAACATCAAGAATAAAAACCAAAAGGGAATCATATATACATACATATTTAATTATATATTATATACAAATATAATGTGTTTTATATACATATAGTATTATATAATTTTTATTTCAGTATCATTTCTTTATAATTAGAAATAATCTATTATGTTTCCAGCCCATTATAGATTATCTTCCCAATAGCAAAAATTGCAAATAAACACATGGAAATTCTACTTTTTCAAAACAAGATCCCATTTACACTCTCCCCTGAGACATAAACAACCTTTACCCCTAGTCCTTCACTACAAACGAGATCTTTAAACTATACATCCTTTTCTCCTCTGTTTGTACTTATCTTATTCCCTATTCTGTCCTGCCATTGCAAACTGCCAAAGCTAGGGCTGCCTTGTCTTTTTCACTTATATTCCTACACCTGCTTTTTTTTTTTTCTGAAGGGAAAAACAACCAAAACAAAAAGCAGTCAAAGCTTCCATTTACTGTCTCGCCCAAAGTAGTGTGTATGCAGGAATCTCAGAGTTTAGATTCAGTGTGGAAACACCTCAACACAGTCACCCTGAGTTTGCTTGATGTGTCCTCAACAAACAGGAATGTATAAATTCACCGGCTTGCAACAGTATACAACAGATTAAGACTTGATTTCGTTCTTTAGTCTAATTTTGTCTACTTCCGAAATTGAAGGGATTATAAACTACCAATAAAATTTTGACATTACTTTATGTAAGTCTTGCTTTTATCTTCATTACAAGCAGAACAAGACAACATATGAATCCATTTATAATTACATTTTAAATATATTATACGATGAAATATTTTAGATATAGCATATGTGCAATATACCAGGCTCAAGTTCATTTTATTTTCTTTACCAGAAATTCTCTTCTAGTCTATCTCTAGAATTTCCATTCAAATTGGTCATTTCAAAAGTCAGTGGATAACACAAATTTCAAAGCTAAAATTTATTTTTTGTTATTCTGTCTGAAGGATTTTCACCTTCCATTCTTTTTATCTGTAAAGCTAGTCTAATCATAGAATTAATGGTTAAGTAATTAAGGGCAGAATCGATCTTTTGCTCATCTGTGAATCTAAGCACTTAGCATCATTTTAAGTACATGTTAGAGTCCGTTGAATTTTGTTGGCTTATACAGTTCTCCTAGATAAAAGCACAATCCATAGAAATTCTCCCTTATTTGGCTACCGTAAGTTTGTTAGTAACTTGTTAAGATAATGGGAAGACATTTGTGGCAACTTCTTGCATTATTAGATGTATGAGGAAGCTTTATGGAAAGTAATTCTTTATGGATACAATTTCAATTGAAGCCAGTTTTAATTGTAACCTACATTGCTCCTGAGGATAACCCCTAATTTCAAATCAACCAGAAACATTCAACATGACTAAAGACTTACCAGTCAGAGGAGATAATTGTTTCATCCAAGATGTTCTGAGTTTTTTTATCTTTTCTGGGAGATAATCCTAACCAATAGCCATATAACTCCTTGGACTTTATAAATTCCTACAGAAATAGAGATAGTTTGTTAAAATAACTATCTTCCATTTCTTTATTTTACCTCACAACATAATTTCTTACAAATAACTGTCTTAAGGTAACATTTTTAACATTATACTACTATTTTTCATTGTCATTAAAGAAAATTGAGGCAGTGTTTTTCACTATGAGTTCTTCCAGCATTTATACATCAGTTAATGTCTCACATGGATCTACCAATCCATTCATAACCTTAATTTAGAGTCAATGAAGTTCACAAACTTCGGGATTCAAATATTGAGCAGTAAATATTCAGTCTAGGGGCAAAGAGGTGGCTATAAACACATGAAAATAGAAATAGAAAGAGTAGGAGAAAATGTAGCAAAGTCAGATGAGAGTGGTTATAGAACAGAACTTAAAACCAGTCCAGAGTTTTGTAGCCAAAGTAACATTTTTAATAAATACTATGAATGGGTCATTTGAGGAAAAACACATGAAGAAGAGCTATGGATTGATTTCCCTCTCTTTTATGAAGAAGGAGAAAGATGTTTGAGTAGGGAAGCTGAGACTCCTGGGGAAATGAAGTTTTGCCTTGAAAAATAAATATGTGATTTCCATCTGAGTGACCAGAAATGTTGAGTAATATGTAAAATATGGAGATACTATTTAGATATTTGAAAAAATAACTATATAAAAAAATCTTCCGGAGAACTCACTTTTTCTTGGACCCAGGAACTCTGTGCAATATATTTGCTTGGCACTTGCCTTTGCCATCTTAATTCTGCTTTTTTATACATACTTTTTCCAAACTATCTTCTTATTCTAGTATATATTGGCTTTCTCTCTTAGTAAAAAAAAATACAAAGTGGTGGAAATAAAAAATCTTATCCTTTGTACGTATTTTGGAATTAGTAAACCTCAGGAATAATTTCCAGATCTCCTGTTTTTAGATACATGTTCATAAATCGTGTCCTAAAAGTTGATCCTAAACTTTGAAAATGCTTACAGACCTGATTCTGGGTGCCCCGTATCTATTCATTTGCCCAGCCTCTCGGATACACTGATGCTAGGGTCCTCAGCTAAAGTTTTATGTGCTTTACCTTGGCTACCTGAGATAAATGTGCCAAGTTTCAGTCATGTCATACTCCAACTAGAATAAGCCAGAATCATGTTTGGATTGATACAGATCTTCCCCAACATGCCTCACTCCTACTTATTCTACCCTGGGAAAAATGATTTCCCTCCTCACACGCAGAGATCCATAGGACCTTACCGATACACTTTTGTTCTTAATCTTCACCAGGCTGGCATTGTGAGCAGAACATGTGGAGTCACTCTGTTGCCATGTCTCAGACGCTTTAAATTCTCGATAGCAGCTGTCCTCATGCCACTCCCATTTCTCTGGACAAGGTTTACATTTGTGCTCTGGAAAAAGAATGTAGTTCCATTTGATGTGTTTGATAATCTTCATTATTCTCATTATTCCCATTGTCCTCTATGTTAAATTAGCCAAATTTACTTGTCTTTTTTCTTTGTGCATCAAAGGTGAGGAAAATGAATTTTGTATTCTAGGCCCCTCTCTACCACCACAATGTGTCTAAAACATAATTTGAACAACACATTTCAAATGAAACACTTATCTTCTAGCACATTTTCCTACCTCAGGAGCCCTGGATAATAATTAATTGATTTCTTTCTCTCTTTGTCATTTTTGATATTACTACAAGGTAATAAAGGCTAATCCTAAGAAACATTGGGTAGTGAGAATCAAGCCCACAAACCTACATCAATCCACATCAATCCTGCCTTCTTCAAAGAGACCATTTTTTGCTCTGACTTGTTCAATATTTGGGAAACTTTGCAAGGGCACAAAGAACATATTTTATTTATAATAGTTATAGAAAGTGTTACAAGGGCAAGGCCTAACTTTATTTTCTCTTGACTCTTATTAAAAATTCACTGAAATTTAGGAACCAAGTCACCTATAAAGAGATATACTTTTCTCCCAATCTTTTATCAATTCATTACCCAGAAAAACCTAATGAATGTCAGATTAGAGAAACTGTATATTGTTTAGTGTTTCATTAAGTTACTGTCATCCCTGTAATTTTAGGGTCTATGTTATTATTACTTTCTGCTTTTCTTTTTAACTAAATAGAAATATTAACTACTCTGTCAACCAGATTTAATTCCTTCCCCCAGATAATGTCTTCCTAAGGAAAAACTGATTATCAAGTGACTCCTAGGATTAGTTCATTGTATAATAAATAACTCAGACAAGAATATTGGATTACCTGGTTCTTTTCTACATAGCTCATAACATAATTTGGTGGCCATTTCTTGCAGTGTGTTAGAGAGGTTCCTGATCTTCTCAAGACTGTCCATATTATGTATTAGTTGTAGAGAAACATTACTCTGAAGTTTGTCTTTGAAATTTTGTAGCTTTTCCAATTTTTCCATTTCTATTTTCAAAGTTAGGTAAACTCCATATTAAAAAAAAAGAAATGATAAAAAATGTTAATCCCTCAATACATCCATCACCTCCTTTTTGCTGAAATAGTATTAAGACTATTGAAGGTCTAGGGAAGCATTCATTTCACAAGAGTGAGGGAAAGAGACTAAATACCATACTGTAAGGACTCCGTTATAAGGCCCCCTTTATGTTCACATATCACTTATAATCATTCCAAAGCCTCAATTCAAAGAGTGAACTTCCTTGTAAAACTCATGCAATTCTAAGTGTCTTACTATTCAATCAAAACGTGGGTGATGGTCTGGCCAGGTGGCTGGGTTGAAGCATTGTCCCATACACCAAAAGGTTTCAGGGGGCGTACTAGAGATAACCAATCAATGCTTCTCTTTCTATCGATGTTTCTCTCTCTCTCTCTTCCTCTCTCTCCCTCTCTCTAAGAATCAATAAACACATCCTTGGGTGAAGATTAAAAACACACACACACACACACACAAAGAAAACTTGGGTAAATACATACATATGCTTCCTAACACTCCCAGTCCAATCAGCAGCAGAAGGCACAGAAGAATCAGAGCCAAGGCTCTTCGACGCCACACATGGGAAGGAGCAGGAGGTGCTGTGGGAAGCAAAATTAGCAAAAAGGCCTGGAAATGGTATACATCTTAATTTGATTCATTCATTCATTTATTCATTTTGCATATTTTTTCTTCCCTAACATGTCCTGGTAAAACCCTTACACTTCTACCACCTTCTATACTTCTTCCATCTTACAAAACATCCATACCTCAGAATCTTACCTTTCACACCAACTTGGTCAAACTCTTGAATATTTTCCATCTCACTGGAGTTCTGGAATTTTAGATCTGCATAAGTAACTTCTTCAGACATTGATAGCGATGAAAAGAAAGCTTGACAACCAAAAAAAAAAAGAGAGAGAGAGGGAGATGAAGGTTAAACTAACAGTTGAATGCTAAACAGGAGTTATGACTTTTAATTCTGTTTCTAAACTAAAGCTTAAACTTCTGTTTTTAAATCTCTGTATGAACCTCCAACAAGTTTACAAATGAGCTGCAACCCTACTGTTGCCTCAGACACAGAGAACTTGTGCACGAGGGAATATCCTGACATTCTTCCTCTTATCTCTTCCTTTTTCTTATTTCTCTATGTCTACCAACTACAGAGTAATTTTCGAATTTGTGTCTGGGTATTATCAGTGTTGTACAAGGGGTGATGGGTCACTAGTGCAACATGATGCAGACATCGAATTTATTGGACACAAACTTTCAAGCAGAGAAATAATAAAGTGGGCACACTTCTCAAACACTCACTGCTCCACAAAAATGGCTTGACATGGATGTCCTGCACATGTCACGGCAAAGGTTCTGGCAGAGGGGGTTTGTCGTAGCCAGGAGATAGCAAACACACGAAGGGCCCTCCCAGAGAAAGGGAGAGAGTAGGCTCCACCTTGCCACTTTGTGACACAGGTATAGATTAGCCTAAGATGAGATAGAATACCTAGTTTCCCTAGAATACGAGAACATGGTCCCTGAGTCCCAGGTTCGATTCTGGGGCGCAGGGACCATGTTAGGGTGTCTGCATACTGATGGCCAAGGTTGGTATGCCAAAGGCCCTAAAATGGTTTTGCAGACCAGAAAAGCTGAGCTCAGCCTTGCTATCTTTCTGCAGATTGGCTCAATCAATTTGAGCCAGCTTTTAGCTAAGCTACCAAAAGGGGGAAGGAAATGCGTCTCCAGGGTTATGCAGACAGGCTTCTGGTATGTGTGACGCAGCATTCTCAGGAGGCAGGCTTATTCATTTCTTGATCAAGTATGCAAGGCGGAGGTGGGGTTGTGGAAAGACTGTTTTTGAGTAAGTTCTTTCTGATTTCATTAGTAAGTCTTACCTTAAATTTTGTATTGGTATCCCCCCCCATAAATAAGTGATTTATCACTTATTCATCCAATAAGTGATTCTCTCTCATCATTGATGTTTCTATCTCTCTATCTCTCTCCTTCCTCTCTCTCTCAAATCAATAAAATAAAAAAAATTTTTTTAAAAGAGGTTATGCCCTAGCTGGTTTGGATCAGTGGACAGAGAGTCGGCCTGCAGGCTGAAGGGTGGTCCCAGGTTCTATTCTGGTCAAGGGCACATGCCCAGGTTACGGGCTGGATCCCCAATAGGGAGTGTGCAGGAGACAGCTGATACCATAAATACCATAAAATGGATTGACATTTTGTTTGTTTTTTACTAAAGAGAATATGTAAAGATTTTTTTAAAGTACTTAATAAAAATATTAACTGCTTTATTATATGTTGGAATAGACAGTAAGATTAAGTAAAATAATAGCTCCCTTTCACAAGAGATACTAAATAATAAAAATCATAGATACAAAATAATTAGAAATATGCACAACCAAAAGGAATAAAACTTTAAAACTCTTGAACAAAAAAAATTTAAAAATAGAAAAACATGCTTTTGGATTGCAAGCATCAATATTGTAAGAAAAAAGTTACTTCTCCTAAATGTAACTTGTTAGGTTCGTGACGCAGGAAAAGAGAATCAAGCCGGTCAGAAGAGGGAAAAGAGGTTTAATCCGTGTTCTTGGGCGAGACCCAGGTGTTCTCAGGCGAGACCCAGGAGCCCTGAAGACAGGGCCAGTGAGTTCGCACCAACAGGGAGGGGCGGCACTTCTCTTATACAGGTGTTTAGTGAGGGGCGGGGGGCATGAGCTGAGGAAGCTCCCGCCACAGGGGTCAGCAGGGTATTCAGGAAGGAGTCAGTATCTGTGTGGGGGTCGTTGTGGATTCTAGGGAGGAGCTGGTATCTGTGTGGCCATCTGTATGGCACGCTGACCTGTTAGAAATTCCAGGGAGGGTCCATTATCTCTTCACACATCTGCATGCATCCATCCTGGGCTCCCTCCGACCTAACATATCTAAATGATCAATGTCAACTTAATTGAAGTACTAATAGATTTTCCTTCTGATACTTGAAAATAGCTATCAAAATTTATCTAAAAATATGAGTGAACATCTTGCTGAAAGGGCGAAGGCTACGCCCTCCACCTTCCCCCCAGGGTAAGGGCTACGTCCTCCATCTTACCCTGGCCACGTGTTGGGCAAGGAGCTTCTTCACGGAAGTCTAAGACTCTGCTAGCCACACCCAGGAACGGGACATCGACTTGTGCCTGGCCAATCGGCAAAGCACAGTCCTTTCTCCTCCCTTACTCCAACCCCCCCCTATATAACCGGTCTCTGGGCGGGGTTGGGCGCGCTCAGCCACTTGGTTTGCCTTGGTGTCGGTGAGCCTGGTGGATGGGGAGCCCAAGTTAACTTGAAATACAGATTCTTATGCTTTTGCATCGAATTGGCCCCCTGATGTGGTTTCTTGGGAATCTTGAAATCTGGGCACAACACTTGCCAGCAACATTTAAAAGAAAGAATATACAAAACATGTGATTATCTCATCCTAAGCACTTTATTAATGCTAGTTTTATCATTACAGCTCTAATACTATTATCATCACCCTTATTTTACAAACTGGAAGTGAGCTATTAAGAGGTTATGTCCTGCCCAGGCTGGTGTGACTCAGTGGTTGAATGTAAACACATGGAGCAAGAGGTCATGGGTTTGATTCCTGACCCTGGTTGTGGGCTCTGTTCCCAACGAGGGGCATACAGGAGGCATCCAATAAGTGATTCTCTCTCATCATTGATGTTTCTATCTCTCTATCCCTCTCCTTCCTCTCTCAAATCAATAAAAGAAAATATTTTTTTTAAAAAAAGAGGTTATGCCCTAGCTCAGTGGTTGGCAAACTGCGGCTCTCGAGCCACATGTGGCTCTTTGGCCCCTTGAGTGTGGCTCTTCCACAAAATACCGACTTCTGTGCATGGGCCACAAAGTTTCAATCACACTGTACGTGTGCACCCGCACGTGGTATTTTGTGGAAGAGTCACACTCAAGGGACCAAGAGTCGCATGTGGCTCATGAGCCAGTTTGCCAACCACTGGCCTAGCTGGTTTGGCTCAGTGGACAGAGCGTCAGCCTGCGGGCTGAAGGGTGGTCCCAGGTTCGATTCTGGTCAAGGGCACATGCCTGGGTTGCAGGCTGGATCCCCAGTAGGGGGTATGCAGGAGGCAGCCAATCAATGATTCTCTCTCATCATTTATGTTTCTATCTCTCTTTCCCTCTCCTTTCCTTTCTGAAATCAATAAAAATATATTTTAAAATAAAAATAAACGAAATAAAAAAGAGATTATGTCTTTATCCAACATCACACAGATGACAAGTGATAGACTTGAGACCTGACCCAAGCATCCTGGCTGCCTAGTGCAATATACCCACAGGCAATAATGCCTCATATTTTTTAAAATAAGCCTCTTGTGGTGGGAATAGACTAGCTCTTCTATTCTCCTTGTGGATCATATATTTATGTATAAAAATGACAACATTAACATTTTAGAAGAAAATATGCATTGTTGGATTTTTTTATTATTATCTTTAAGTGAGAAAGACCTTTAGAAACAAGATGAATAAAGCCATTCAAAATTGACACAATGACAATATAAGAGCTAAATTTGTTTATATGACAAAATACAATAAAGTAAAATATCCATGGCAAACTGAACAAAATTATATATATATATATATATATATATATATATATATATATATATATGTAATGTTATATGTTTCTAAAGTACTGTCTTCCAGATTCACCACATTTGGGTCTCAAAAAACATTTATGTCACTCTTCTGCTCTACCAAGCTAGCAGCTTTTGGGTGGTGGGGCATGTCCAGTGAATTGTTATTTATTGCCCCACTTCCTTTGCCTTGAAATGAATTTCTTTGTCAGAAGGCATGTTGTAAGGAATACCACGGAGATTAATGAATTGCCCTGTAAATCCAAGACTAATGGGGCTATCAGAGGCATTGAAAGTAAGGAAGACAAATCCATGTCTGGATCAGAGTCCCAATTATTGTTTAAAGCTCAATTTTGTCCTATTTTGCAAATAACACACACACACACTCACACACATAGCTAGGTAGGATTAATCCAGGCCAATCTAAATTATTTTCTCTAATTTAACAAAATGGGCCTAACAAAATCCAACAAAGACTATATTTCACTACAGCCATTGAATATTTCTTGTATATATTATCTAAACTTACAAGTAAGTAGTTTTTCTGGGACATTTAGTTGGGGAAAATATCACAGATGCAGAAGCAATAACATTTGCTTATCTGTTCTTTCTCAGAAATATTTGATGCCAATGGCCATTCCTTTCTTTTTAAATACTTTTATCTCTTGCTGGAGGTCGACGCATAACAAGCATTTGCTTGAAAGTGCAAAAGAGACTTTGGAAAGCCAATGGACTTTGATATTCAGTAGTTTGCCCTGCTGTGATTGTGATGGCTGAAGGCAATTTCCTGACCTGATCCTCTTTACATTGTTTACCAAACTTTACCTTTGATCTGCCAGTATGCGTTGCTAAAGGGCAAATGTGTATTCAAAGTGAATAAAAAAGTGGGCAGGACCCTGACTCCAAGTGCCTCTTCATGAAAGAGGTTTCCACCTGGCCCCCCATGACTTCCAAATTCATATTTCTTGTCTAGTGTATTCATTGTTTCAGCAGCCCTCCTGCAAGTCATCCTGAAGTCACTGTGAAGGTTGCAGTAATCTCTTGGGTTCTATCTTGCCGTCAATTAATCCTTAATGAAATGATGTTAAATTAGAATTATTAGTTATCTCAGTTCTAGAACTCTTATTTGACTTGAATAATTTCCATGTTGTTGAACCTCTTTATACTTTTATCTCTTAATTTGAACACACAAATCATTTTTATTTTAAATTTCCTGTTTGATATTATCAGTGTCTGAGACTTTTGGCTTGTTAATTGATGCTTTGTCATTTAGTCCTTTTCTTTCTTTTCTCTTTTAAGGGTGCCTAATAATATTTTATTAAATGCTGGGCCTCCTATATAATAAAAAGGTGATATGCAAATAGACCGAACAGCAGAACAACCAGCAGAACAACCAGTTGCTATGATGTGCACGGACCACCAGGGGGCAGATGCTCAATGCAGGAGCTTCCCCCTGGTGGTCAGTGCGCTCCCACAAGGGGAGCATCGCTCAGCCAGAAGCCGGGCTGATGGCTGGCGAGCACAGTGGCAGTGGTGGGAGCCTCTCCCGCCTCTGTGGCAGCGCTAAGGAGCAGCAAGCAGGTGGGCAGTAAGGAGCAAGGGGTTCTGGACTGTGAGAGGGATATCCTACTGCTGGTAGGTAGACATCCCCCGAGGGCTCCCAGACTGCAAGAGGGCACAGGTCGCACTGAGGGACACCCCCCCGCCCCGAGCACATTTTTTATGCACTGGGCCTCTAGTAGTATGTAACAACAATAGAGATTATGAATAATATCATCCTACAAAGAGATATTTATTTTTTTCCTTGCAGGCAGGTAAAATATAAACAGTAAGTCATAACCAATTAGAGTCCCTCAAGTTTTGTCTTAGCTGTTTTAGAATTTTGTCCAACTTTTAAAATTATTATTAAATTTATTGGGGTGACATTGGTCAACATGATC